TTTTTACAAAGAAATTAATGAAAATTTATTGTACTAAGCCACACATCATAGTTAAACCAATGGTATTTTGTACCCTCTTACCTGTTTGTACTTACCCCAAAATTTGGTTTTGATCGGTCAATGTATGGTTATTTCATAGAGTGTGACAGACGGACTGACAGAAGTTACAGAATTGAATATATAGATAGAAAAATGCAAATACCCTTGGGAAAGCTAGAAATCCATCTCTCTCCTCCCAATTATGGGTTAAATAGTAGAGCAGACTGAGCTCTTCAGCCTTGTTTGGCAGTTTAGAAGAGAATTAAAAGAGAAAACATATTTAGCCTTGACAAAGCAAATAATATATGCAGCTAATGAAAGAAATGATCCCAACGGCAGTCAACCTTGTTGGTAGGGCTGTGAACTTGTAAAACTTAATATAAAAAAATAAGAAGTTATTAGAAAATAATTATATATTCATGTATCAATTGATGATCAGCTTTACGGATTGCATAGTGAGGGTTTTGGAAGTGACTCCTTCTGGTCTAAGAATATTTAATTTGATATTTTCATCAGGTTACTCTTCTGTGCTAGCTTAGAGCAACTTGGGAAGTAGGTATACCTTGACACCACAATTGCATGGTCCTGTTGCTGCACGCTTCACTGAATACTTACTTTGGTCCATCTCCAGCAAGCCTGCTCTGTACCAATCTGGCATCCCCACATTGTGTTTCAGTATCTGCAGGAATATCAATGAAGAAATGTCAAAGATCAGGCTTGACTGCTCTCTGCCCTGGCTATGTTTGTGAAAGACTAAAGTCACCAGTGTTGCCAGTAAATTTAATTAACTTCAACAACACTCATTAACAAGTGTAAAAATAACAAATTCTGTTTATAATACTATGATTAAGATCATGAATACATAAACAAAGAGATCCGAAGATACCTGTACCCCTACCTGTAACGGCATTCACCTGAGGTGGGTTGAGCCGGCTCCAATATTGGAGTTTCATGGGAATTTGGAATTCACAAGTGGTCCCCAAACCAACATGTATAGCACATGAGATTTGATTATAGTGGTGAAGGTTTTGTGCAGGACCATCCACACTTTTTTTTTGAAGGGCCAATTACAGAGACTTAGTGCACTACATGCCACAAGATCCCTAAACGACCTTCTGCAGGTTTTGAATTCAGAGTTTTTCCTTCTAGACAAGTTGCCACTATAGAACCCAATCTGTCCTGCTATTTACCCATAGCTGGAGGGAGAAGAAGAGGATTCACACCTTTCCCAAGGGTATTAGCACGTAAGTGAATGTAATGGATTCGATTGGAATTCAAACTTGGCTCTCCGCCAAGCCACTATCCATTACTCCACCATGCCTCCTCTGAAGATGTTTCCCTGTATAAGGAATTGAGTTGAGAAGTGGTTAATTTGTGGTTGCAATGATGGCTAAACAGTCCAGAGTGGTTCAATTATTTAAGTGAAGACAGCTGAGTGAGGGAGTTCAAAAAGTAGTGTCGAGAACAAATTTTTAGTTGATTGAGGCACCACTGTCATCCAGCAGGGAAAGTGTTGGTCTATTAGCAGCGAGATCAGTTCAATCTTACTTCTGCTCTTTTGGCAACTATTTTTATGGGAGTGCAAACAACAAATGCACTGCTCTGATTGGCTAAACAATAATAAGGCTTGACCAATGGTCTTTTGTCATACCCATTGAAGGGGAGGAAGAAAAGCCTCCAAGAACCCAATATGATTCAAGGTCCAATCAAAATAATGGCCTTGCGTCATAAGTATCAGAGGAGGAGACTAGAAGCTCCATCCAACCCCTCTCTCATTGGTGAGCCAATCAAAATTGTGGCCTTGTATCGCTCACATCCACCTTCAATGAAACATTTCCATATTCTGAAATCTCACCTTCATTTGACTTGATAATCACAGGTGTCATCGTCACCTCCAGCTCATAGGGTGTCATAGCCCGGGTGAAAAGAAACCTGACCTGTAATTTACTTTGTGCCACTCATTTCAATTAATAATTCTGTTATCAAATGAAAACAACACTCAAGTTCAACAGAGCTAGGGCTGTACCTAATGACCGATCCCACCCGAGCCCACAATTTCACCTCTCACACTATACTGTAAAAGTAACACAAATCTCAAAATTCATATTGCATTTTTTTAACATGAAAAATATTTTTCCTTCCTTAGAAATAAAAATTAGATTGCTAGTCAACCTTTGACACCAGTTATGGTGTCATAGTAGTAAAGATTTATACACAAGCAGGTTTAGAAGACATGTTTCCTCTATAAGGTGAGTTTACATGTGCCAGATACCAAATATAGAAAGTTGTGAAGTTCTCACGTTTTCCATTATGAAGTGATTATATTGAATCAACTGCTAGGTTTACTGCTAAGAAAGTTGGTTTAATGTGTCATGCCAGACAATTTTTCACATGAGAATCCATCTTGCACATTTATAAATCTACCATTTGAATATTGCTGCTATATCTGGTCTCCAGATTC